ATCAAGACAGGGAGTGTAACCTTAGCAAGGCAGCTCCCTTTGGCTGAAGGCAGAATCGACAGAAACACAGACACTGACTCCAAGTTGTCCAATACTCCTGGCTGCTAAGACAATGAACTCAGAGTTCCTGAAAGGGGGAACCTGGATGGTGTACTGCAACCCCCACTCTGCCATTACTGATAAAGCTTTAGTGGGTCTGCCCCTCAAGAGGTCATTAATGACTTCTTGCTCTTTTCCTCTGCTGCTTATAGTATGACCAGTAAAACCAAAGCACAGAATATATAGCCAGAGTTTTTGCAACACTCTCCTGGCAATGTCAGGTAGAGTTTGTTATTGATAAAGATTCTGGTTTTTCATCCATATGGCCACTGACTTCCTCTGTGTCACTCTCTTATGATTTTTACATTGGAATCAGCCTGTTTTCCTCTGAAGGGAGGGCAGGAGAAGGTAGCCAGTCAGGACTGCCACGCTCAGCAGCATGGGTTTTGCACTGCAGAGCTGCACGTGAAGGTTGAGTTGGGCCAAGGGAAATCAAGAAGCATCTTTCTTATCATGGAGATATTTTTTTCTAGACAGCTCAATTTCTGTAAGTTATGCCCGACATATTTCTATAGGTTTGAGAACAAGTAATTCTTGGCTTTGATAATGGAAGTGGTAAGAAAGAGAGAAAAAATAGAAGCCAAGAAAGATGGATTTTTGTGTGAAATCAGCTCAGATGGCGCTCAGATGCGGTGGGAAGACAGCATAAGGCACAGCTTCACACAAGTCCTGGTGTGAATGTATCTGGGATCATAGAACCAATCAGTTGGTCAGAATATGGCAGAGAGGACAGTAACGGCACAGACTGGCCCCTTTCTGGTTAACTGTAGTGAAGACAGACCGGGGTGCCTCTCTCTAGTTGGCTGTCACTTTCTCCAGCTCCGATTGGGACATATTTACCCATCCAGAAGAATGGGCATATTGTTGTTTGTATGGGCAGGGTTCCCAAGAGTGTGAGAAGGGCTGTAAAAGAACAGATAACTTCATGATCACTGCACATTATCGTAGAAAAAGTTTCACCTTGATCATAACATGACTGGTGCCCAGTGCACTTCTCTTCTTCCTTCAGAGAGAACTATTAGAAAATGTAATGGTGTGACTTGGGAGTTTTATTACCCAATCAAAGATTAAGAAAGATGTGTGGAGAAGGAGACTAGGAAAGCAGAAGTAACGCCCCCTCTGAAAGAAAAAGGGAAACAAGCATTTATGCCAAATGCCACAGGGTTATTATTTTCCCGCTCTTTGGTCCTGGAGAATTCAGGATCTTCGCACTGAGCTGCATCCCCAGCCCTTTGTTCATTCTTTATTTTAAGACCAGCCAAGTTGCTAAGTTGTCCAGGCTGGGCTTGAACCTGCGATGCTCCTGCCTCAGGCTCCCAGAGTGATGGGAATACAGGTCTGTGCCACCATGCCCTGCTCGCAAGCTTCATTATGGTGCCATGCTGACACACTGCTTGGTAGGAAAGGAGGAGAAGGATGTGATGTTTAATACGAAAAAACTGATATTTAGTGATGTTTTCTCTGTCACCTACAACTACCTACAAGCCACTCCAAAACCAAAGGGCTAAAAATAAATCCCTGTTATGTGCTCCTGATTCTGGAGTCACAATTTTGGATGGTTTAGATGGTCATGCCTGGGGTCCTTCAGGCTGCTGCTGGCTTCTAGCAGGTTGAGCTGGGTGTTCTGGAAGGAGCACCCTCACACTTCCGGCTGTGGGTAGAAAGTGTTAGCCTGGACTTTCTATGTGGCTCTCATCATGCTGCCTGGCAAGGGCCTCTTTCTGGGATAACTTCAAGTTCCAAGGGAATGGGAGCAGAACGGCCGGGTCTTTTGTGTCTGAAAACTTGAAGATTCCACCACATCCTGTCTGCTACACTATATTGATCAAGGAAGTCCCAAGTCCAGCGGGGACTGAGGAGTGTGGACAGACTCTACCTCACAACGGGAGAGATGGGCAATTACCGCGCAGGGGGCCATGGTCTCCTGGGGAGAGGAGAATTTTGTATACGTCTTTGCTAATAATTTATCACATGTGCAAGGCTGGGGAGGGAACAAGGGTGCTGTGAGAGTCACAGATGCATGTTGACGAATCCTGCACCATTTACTTGTCAACCACATTTCAGGGATGAGCGGTGACCATTCCCTTCTAAGGCAGGAAAAGGATCATCTTAACACCTCAGTAAACACCTGTCACCACATGGGAACACATACTAGTGGCTCTGTCACTACAGAGAGATTTAGAGGGTTTAATCAATTTTCAGACTTCCTAGTAATGCTTATCTACAACTGTACTGATGATTTTTAAATAAGGGTAATGAGACTATAGAAGGGCTTTCTAGCATGCACTTTGCTAAATATACAACCATAACACATTTTGCTGGCCATCTGCTTAGATTAGAATTGTAAGTGAGCTTTAATACGGCCTTGTCGCTTTTATTGGAGAAACTAAGTCATCAGTGAAATCTACAAATATCCCAAATGGAAATGACTTAACTAGAGGAAAGCATGGGCTACTTTGCAAAAATTTGATTATTTCAGTAATTAAGATGAAGGAAAACATGACAAGGACAAAATTATGCTTTCTACGTACTACATGTATGCCAAGCATGCTACATTAACTCCTTCACTGAGTTCAATAATTCTACGTGTTAGGTAACACAATCAGTCTTTTACAGATAGAAACTCTGAAACTAGCCAAGGCAAGGGACTCGCTAAAGTTCTCACTTAGTTAACTGGTTAGAAGGCCAGGATTCAACCTAGCTCCTTTCCAATATTTATAGAGATTAATATATATCATACATATTAAAATCATGCCTATTTTAGCCTACTTAAAAAAATAATTGTATCATAAGCATTTTTCAATTGCCACAAACCTTCATAATTATCCTCTTGAATGGCTGCATGCTATTTTAATATTTCTTTGACATGTTGGACCCTGATTCATTTCACCGTGACTCTGAGTTGGATATCCAGGTTGTGTCTGTTAGGGCTCAGAACCACGGATTAGATTAAATCTGGCTAAGTAACACTTCTAGAGCCGGCTGTAATTATTTTTTAAATGTGGTGTTTATAACTCATCTGGACCTTGTTATTCCTTTTTCTTTTGCCATTTTCCTTGAAATGGTGTTTATTAACAAGATTAGACCTGCTTAGATAATTATAAGACAGTCTGTACACGAAATCAGACGCGCACTTCTACTCATACCACCCAAACTCCTCCTGTGGATTTCAGGGGTGGTTCCTAGCTCAGCAGTAACCCGCTTACCTTGTACAGCGTTTTACAGTCACAGGAAGGGGGAGCGGGTGTCACAGAACAGCGCTGGCAGGCATCCAAATGCACGTCTCCACTCTAGCCAGCAGGTGTCTCCATTTCATTCACCCTCCTTGGCAGGTTCCTCCTGAATGGGAAAACTTGGGAACAAACTCCATGGATGGGAAGTTGTCCTTTTAGGATCTCCCACCAGCCCCCACCTGCCACCTTCCCTTCCCCACCCCTAGTCTGCTGATTGGAGGCACCGAGGCAGTCCGGACCAGGATGTCATGTGAGTTTAAACACATTCTTTACTTCACCAAATCTGTTTGCAAAGTACGACCTGTAACTCCTCATCTCCCCAGAGCAGAAGCCTTTTCTCTTTAAATAGCACTATACTCCCGACTAAAAGCTATGTTACTGAGTCATAACAATTAATTACATTCAGAGGTGAGAAGACAGGATTTAACGCTCTAACGCGATTTGAATTTAGGCTGTTATCTCATCCCGCTGCTATTTAAAACAAAGTCACTTTTCCAAGGAAGCGTCGCACCAAGGATGGTTTCAAAGCTTCGGTCTAAAGACATCCCTGGCAACTGAATATTCCCGTTTTAGCTTCTGGAGGGGTTTAATATGTGCATTTGGATTTTCTAGATTTCTGTAATGAAGTGCATCTCTTTGCATTTGGGGATTGGATGTAGGAGAAATGGGGGGCTTGGGAGGTCTGTTCTTTGCATCAGGACTTTTCTAGGTGAGGAGGGAGGTACGCAGGACGAGTTATCAGAAAAGGAGAATCGGTTCCAACAGGGATCACATCGCGGAGCACCCGAGGCGTGATGGTGGGTGGTGAAGCTGGAACCACACCCAGTCCGGAGCAGATGTTTACTGACTGATTGGTCTGGAGCCACGGTCAGCGCCTTGGGTTGGGGCCCAGAGGTGATGGGAGGGTTCTGTGGGCATCTGAGGCGACACATCAGCCCTTCACAGGGAGCTTTATAGCTTTGCTTGAGGCTCCAGGGGACACTGAGGATCCTGGGCTTGCCTGGTGGGTGGCAGGAAGCAGTGACCGCGCTGCTCTGATGTCTCTGTCTGGACCCCTGGATCCCACAGAGCAGCCCCTGTGCCTCTCTGTGCCGGGCTCTGGGAGCCTTACGTGGAGAAGATCCTGCTGCCCGATGGATCTTGCCTGTCAGGAGCCTGGTGTTGTGCTGCCCCTGTCCTCCTCTCCACTCCTGGAAGCTCTCGGAAGCTCTCCCCACCCTGTGTTCTGCATCAACCCTCAGGACGCAGCGCGGCACCCCTTGCTCCGCAGCTCCCCCAGGCTGAGGCCCACAGGGATGCTGCTCCTTCCCTGTCTCAGAGCAGTTGGGGTACAGGGCAAGAACTCCTGCCTTGAAGACTTCTGAGCGTCTGCCTTCCAGCCACGCACGGCCCTGTGACACAGACAACTCACCCCGCCCGGCAGCCTCGCTGTTTCATCCACGCGGTGGGATCTGAGCACTTATGTTGCCAGTCTGGCCAGCAGGGGAGCGGGGCGGGGAGCTGGGCCTGCACCGGAAAGGTAACCCGTCCCCGCGGGCCGGCCAGCACCCCCCCCCCCC